CCATTTATGAACGTAGAAACGACCTATATGAACATTCTAGTCATTAGATATATCTAGGGGCTTACTTCGAAGCTTAATGGAGGTTTTGGAAATTTTCCGGCGAAACTTCCGGCGAATATTTCTCCCAACTCCAGCGACTTCACACCAAATTGACAGCACCACAACACTCCTCACACTTTCATGAACATTTAGGAAGAAGAATGAAGAAGAATGGTGAAGAAATGAGAAGGTCGGGTTCTCTTATATAATGAGAAGGAGAGAAGAAGAAAACAACTATGGTGACTCCACAATTCGGCGATCGGCGTAGTGGGGAAGGAGGCGCCGTCTAAACAGTTCCCTGATTGGGACCTATTTTGGTTCCAGTCGGGGTACACTTTTTGGTCCAACTTTCTCCAAATTGAAATCTGTTTGCACCGTTGCGATCAGACAGTCGAGCTCTATCCAACGATATACTTTTCATAATTATTTGTAATACTTTTTCCGACATCATATTTTTGGGTGTTTGACTTTAACAGAGTCAAAATTGGTTTAATTGACCTTCCTCATAAAAGGTTCTCTCATTTAATTCACATCAATTATTCTCATGATTTATTTCAACAAATCATTTCAATATTTACATTCTAAACAAATTCTTTATTTACTCTTGATTTGGGTCTGTACTCAGGTTCCCAATCAAGACCACACAAATAGTCCACATATTGGATTTATCTCTATGAGACTTATCCAGATTTTGATATTAGATGTTAAAACAAATTTCACATCGGCCCAAAGCCCAACAATAATTTATTTTAATCAAAACAATTGTGATTAATTGATTATTTATTCATTAATAATTCTAGGGTATGTTTTGGGGCGTCACAGGAAGACTAGGACACAGGCCCGGACCTGGTACGCCGGTTACTACACCGGTCTTGCTCAGTATAAAATAAAAAACTTATAAACCCGGAAGAGGGGCCCGGAAGAGGGTATGCCTGCAAGAGGGCTGGACCTGGAAGAAGGTTCGAACCGTACTTACACGGGCCCATGAGGTTTGACCGGTATCGGGGAATCAGCCGGTGCCGTCAAATTGATTGGGGACTAAAAGATGCCTATTAAAAGAAATAGAAGGGGATCGTCCACCGTGGCGCATCCTATTTCCCCCTTCTCAGGGAAGACTTGAACGGGGGGTGAGCTAAGGCCTTCCCGGGATAGTAAATGTCAAAGGGCCATTAAAAGACTTAATCACCCGGAAGAGGGGGCCCTGGAAGAAGGGTGCATTTTGGGCCTTGGAGAGGGCTCGAAACCATCCGACATGGTTAATTCTCCAATGTTGATCTGGCCCGGCTAGCAGCATTCTTATTGGAAGACTGAGACACAGGCCTGGCCTGACACGCTGGTTACTACACCGGTCTTGCTCAGTATAATAAAGAAAATATGTGACCTAGTCGAACTGGTACACTGGTCTCACACCAGTCTTACACATATTTTCCCATAAGCCTGAGCCCAATCGAATTGGGTACACCGATTGCACATCGGTTTCAGCAAAAAGTGAGCAAAGCTCATATCGGGGACGCCCGATTCATTTAAGCCCTCAATCTGAGGCACTTTGATCGAAGATGGTCTCCGCGAGACATGAAGATATTTACATCAGTCAGCCGGGCTAACACTGATCTTCAACAAAGCTACCGCATCAGATTCAATTCTTATTAACAAACGTCGTTGTCGTCTGTATACTAATTTCGTCACGCATCGTATGCTTGACTCGTATTAACACTGACTTCGACGAAATAACTACTCGAAGCATCGTTGCTTAATCGAACTGACATCGCTCTTGTTACGATAATTATTCGTGCGAACTTTAATCACCCTAACACCGAGCTCCTCGGTAAAGATATAAAAATTATTTGAGCACGGCACAAGCCGATCAAAAAAAAATGTTGTACATATTATTTTTGCAGGAAAACCTTCTGATTCAAGAAATTGGAGAACTAATGAAGACTCGGAGAACTAGCAACAATATCAACCGGTCAAGAATCCAAAGTACGAAGATCGAAGATAGCACTCGGAGGACTTGTTTACTTTTTCAAGTTGATGATTCTCACAACTTAAAAAAGTGGAGGACTTATTGATGGGAAATAATACGTGGCTCGGCCCACATTTCCCAATTATTTTACGAAGAATAGTCAAACCGGGCCAGTTTAATAAAATAGATGAATAAGAGAATATTCCTCCAAAGATGCTCCCCTCCCTCCTATAAAAGGAGGGGTGCGCCTAATGTGAGGAGGAGGCCATTCCTTACAATCAAACACTCTCCCCTGCCAACTTCCTCTCTCTCTCTCTAGAAATTTGGTAGTTTATTTTCTTAAAGAAGCTTCAAGCTTCCATAGCTTCCATTAGTGGCTTCTATGCCTGAATCATGTACCGTGTATACACCCCCGATAAAAATTCCCCGTTGGCAAGGTACCGCCAAAAAAGGCCCGTGGTTTTCTCCCGATTTGGGTTTCCACGTAAAAATCCTCGTGTTTATAGTTTGGTGTGTTTTTTAGACTAGTTTATCGTTTTAGCCGGGCTAAAAACGATATACCGGTTGATAATTTACACCATCAGTTCCCAAGACGAACTATTTATCGAAATGATACTCGTTAATTGAAAATAACATTCAGTTTATCCCTCAGTAACATGCATCAAAACTACATTAAAATTTATAATAACTTTCCATAAAGGTCATCTCTAATTAGATGTTATTTCAAATTAATATAGATTTGAAATAAAAACTCATAAAAAATGGTCTCTTGGCTTTGCTCTAACATCGTAAACCAATTAAAAGGAAGACTTCTGTTTTGGTTTTTTCACATTTAATGAATTTTTACTTCAAAATGAATCAATTTGAGAAAATATCCAATAAGAAAGGATAATTTTGAAAAAAACAGTATAAAGTTTATCATTGTTCTTACACCGTTTTAATAACTGTTAGTCGGGGACGAAATTGATACTATCTCCTTGATTAATTCATTTTGAGGATTAATTTTGGATAACACGTAATTATTTTGTACTCCCTCTGTCCCAAAAAGTCTTTCCTGTTTACTATTACGATCTCTCGATAACTCTTATTTGTTTGCGTGTTTTCATTGACCATTTGATAAAATAAAATATTCTTGTCACCTCTTATTTTGTAGAGTTTTCAATGTAGTTTTTAAATATAATTTTTTATGTGTTATTTCCTTACTAATTTGCAATTAAAATCATTTTAAAATATATGAGATTTTACACGTTAATCAAAGTAGGAAATTCTTTTTGGGACGGAGGGAGTAATATTTAGAGAAGGGAGCGTCTAAAATGACACCAGTTACTTATACACCAGTATACTGCCAGGATAGGGAGGGAGGCGGGAGGGGGGCTGGGGTGGGGGGCAAGGGTGGGGCTGGGGTGGGGGATTTAGGGAGGGGTAGGAACCATCGTTTTTACAAACGGAGCACCGTAAATACCCTAAACGAACTGGTGTAAGCAAATGGTGTGATTTTAGACTTGCGGTTTACAGAATTTACTCTCAAAAAATGGTTTTTAACTTTTTTTTACTTTTGTTTCAACCAAGGAGAGTAATGGAGACTGGTGTTCTTCTGAGAAGTATTCTCTTTCATCTCTCTTTCTCTGCTCTTCCTCTCCATTTCTCCCGTTCGTTTTCTCTTTCTTTGCCCGTCGGCATCCACCCCCTAGGTTTTCTCTCTTTCTCTTCAAACACTCCATATCTATGGAGCATAATCTTTCTCAAAGTGTAGGAGTTGACTACATGGTGTTATGCGATTTCAGATGAGGAGCACTATGCCAGGGAGTTGATCAAATGTAAAGACGGGTCAAAATCTTTCACCAGAGACCGCCTGAACGACGATTTCTGTGACTGCCTCGACGGCACAGATGAGCCCGGTATGAACTTTAGCTTCAATCCCATCTCCTATTTTTCCCCAATTGGTTCTGGATCGGACTTTATTTTTATAGTTCGTGGTTCAATTGACTCACCTTGTTCTACTTGGTTTAGCACAGACTTATCTGGTATCATAGCATTCTTCACCCAGTTTTAAAAAATTTAAGGTTTCACATGCAAGATTCGAAGTCACCGACACGTTTGAGCTTTTGGTTGAGTTGATTCCTTGACAAGATTTTAAGATTACCTTTGTAGTCATTGTAGTGCTCTAAAGTTCCATGCCTAACTCCGCCTAGGCTCTACCCGTCCATGGGATGGGTGCTTTTTAGAACACCGAGTCATATATAATTTCTAATTAATCCTACATTTCGGTTTAAACATGTAGGATAGATTTCATTGTAAAAAGCTTGGGTGTTTGTGTTTTATGGGAAAAACATAAGTGTTGGGCATGAATGTGTTTTGTGTGTATGAGGTCACTTTGGTATAATGGGATGTGTGTTGTTTGTATGGCTAATGCACATTATATGAAGATCTCTCTTTCAATATATGCAAGTATTGCTCCATCAACCTCCTGAGATGGTGGATGACCTCCGTAGTAGATGTCCTAGGCATAAATTCGAATTGGTTCTCGGAAATAATCCCCTCTTCACATTCTTCTCTCAATTACCAGTTCCCAAACCTTCTATAATATCTAAAAGAAGTAAAACTTCAGCTCATATTAGAAAACTGTAGTTTTTCTGCTCATCAATGAGGACCGAGGACTGAGGAGATTTTTTAGCTAACAGCCCTCTTTGAACGGATATGCAGGAACTGCGGCCTGCCCACAGGGCAAGTTCTATTGCAGGAATATGGGCAGCACACCCAAATTTCTGTTTTCATCTCAAGTAAACGATCGAATCTGTGGTATGGACTCTATATAACCACGTTTGGGTGCTACTTAGTTTTTTTTCTCTCTTTCTTTCAAATGATCAATAAAGTAAGGTACCATATGCTACCTAGTTGTTTAGATTCACTGCTTCCAAATTTAGTTCCACTTTTTGTTCCAAATCATCTGCTGCTTCAACCATTTGTGTAGATTGCTGTGACGGAAGCGATGAAAATGATGGCACCATTAGCTGCCCTAATAGTTGTGTTATGGGTGGGAATTTGGCCTATCAGATGAGAAGTCATAGCTCACAAGATGATTCAGTTTCATTTGGCAGAAAAGCAACTAGAGCTGGCATTAATGCAGAGGACTCAATACAGAAAGTTAAAGGTAAAAACATTTGCTAATTAGTAATATTGCCATTTCTCTTTGTAGAAGGGAGTTGTTGAATGACCTTTTTTCCAGGTTTGAAGATGTTAGTAGTCCTACAGGTACTTATTATTGTTATTGTTGTGGGCATCCCACTTTTCTGCCGACGCTCCAGATTGAGAAGAAGGCATTCTCGTTGATGGCGTTGGAAGTCCCGGATCTTGAAGATGACATTCTCGCTTATGGTCGATTATTGGATTGGTTTGTTTGGCATTATAGTCATCCATGGCTCTAGTTTTATGAAATGATTCAATTTTTGAATAGAACTTCCATATATCAAGATTGGTTTTCTATTCTACTTAAAATCAACAGTTTAAAGGTTGTGAACTCTCAGTTGGATGAGTTGATGAACTTGTTAATATAATTCTATTGTATTTCCACTATTTTCATGCTCTAAAATGATGACATTTACCGATTAAGGCTCCATTTATAATAACAACCCAGTAAAATCCCACAATAGCAGGATTTGGAGAGGATATGTGTACACAGACCTTACCTTTACTGAAAGTAGAAAGACAATAGATTAAGGCTCCAATTGGTTGTCGCAAAATAGCTCCCCTTGTTTAATGTTTTTAAGAAAGATCATTACCCACAAAGAAATGGAGCTTCAAGGCTTCTTGATTTGGATGGAGGATTAGTGTGAAGGGTGTTGGAAAATCAGGAGGGACAATAATGTTGGAATTTTTGGCATTTTTAATAGGCATTAAAATGGACCAATTAGGGTATATTTATCAATAGGTCCACTAACAGTTTTAACCGTTAATTAATGGACGTGTTTTCTCTTAAATGAGATACATGTTTTGACAATTTATACGCCAAAAATGGTAGAGGGACTTACTCTTTAACTAAGAGTCTCAATTGGGCAATTATTTTCTTATACCACTCCTAACGTTAAAAACGTTAAAATGACTTGGTTAGAAGAAAATAATTAAAATGCATAACAAATTTTAATCAGGTAAAAATGCCTCAATTGACCGGTAATTAGAGGTTAATATCGGGACAAATTTTAAACGGAGCGTAGTGTAACGGACGTGTTAATGGCTAATTAATCACCATTAACACACCACAAATGCCATGTTTAATACTAAGCCTTAATGGTGTGTAGGTTACACCTTATAAAGGTAAAAGGCTCTCTCCATTTTTGTTTTGTGGTGCTTCACGTGAGAAACAAAAAGAGAAAAGAAAGAAAATCTTTCTTGTTTATTTTTTGAGAGAGCTCTTGGTTTTCCGGCCAAATTTCCGGCAATTCCCTTCAAAGTTTTTGGTCGCCAACGTTCCTACGTTGTTCTTGTTCGTTGGTGTGTGGTTGGTTCGTACAATCTCCACACACGATAGCGGTTTTATCCTGGGAGGAGAGTGCCCACGTTTTTCCGGTAGGGTAGGCGGGCACTACTACTTTAAGGACAACTCCGGCGACTCCGCTGTCCTTCCACAGTGTTGTGTTTTTGTAGGTTCAGTTCTTAAAGACCTCGCTGCATTTTGTCCTAGTGCATAATGTCCTCGCAGCCCAGTGCATAATGTCCTCGCAGCCCTGTGCATAACGTTCTTGTATCGCTGTCCAGTGCTTAAAGACCTCGCTGTCCAGTGCTTAACGTTCTCACTGTCCAGTCCTCAATGTCCTCGTACAACAAGGCCGTTTGAAGATATATCAATTTATTTTCAACTTTGTTTATTTTGTAATATTCTGAATAATTTATAAATTCATAATTTTATTTATTTTTATTTTTCGGGGCCGTTCATCTTCCCCGTCCGTTGTAATCCGTACGAGAATTGTAACAAATAATGATGCAAAGTAGTGTTAGAAAAGTATAAGAAGAACGTCAAGAATGACTTGATAGACTTAGTGAATTGCGTATTAACGCTTTTAGGTTAAAATTATTTCAGGGTATATCAAAGTAATTCAATTAGATAAGACGTAATTAATTTAGAACAAGTACGGAAGTTTGTGCATCTCAAAACATACCCTGTGCTTTATATTCATAAACAAATTTTCGAATGGACATGTAGGTTAAGGAAAATGCTAGAGTCACAAACATATAGATCACAAACTTCACAAACTTGTATTTTGTGAATTTTAAAATAAAATATCTTTTATTATTTGAGTGCATTTTATTTCTAGAAAAGTGTTAAAAAGGTAAGTTTGTGAATTTTGTGAACGGTTTGTTTGTGACTTCATTACTCGTAGGTTAATGATACAACCCAACTTTTTGGGTAACATTTGAATGTTTGTTATTTTTGCTCTTTGTGCAAAAAGTTGCATCTTATTACAAAACATTCGAATGTATATGATCAAACATTCGAATGTATCAGACCTTTAAAATTACATTCGAATGTATTGTTTTATATATTCGAATGTACATTACTTTAAACTCTATATGCGAAAATCCAAAGAATTTTCATGAAAAAATGATATAAAAAAAATTAGCAATCCCAGTAGCTTGACCCCATTCAGGCACAAGACAGCTCAACCCCGGTCAGGGACTCTGCCGTTTGGACCCAGCTACAGGGGGTTACTGCCCCCAGACCCCGCTATGGAATATGTAATAGCGTTAAACTAACGTGCACTCCACACTTCCGAACTCATTAAGAACGTGCATTAAAATTCTCATCTATTTTAAATAAATCTAATTATATAAAATAATCGATGACACTAAACACATCAAAAAAGATAAGAGTGAATAAATGTAAGTATATAATCATTTGTTTGAAAGCTCAATTTCTCTCTCACACATTCTATTTTGACGTGTTAGAAAATGAGAGTAAGTTTTCTTCATTTGATCTGAATAATTCTGATCTAATTTGGTCCGATCTGGTCTAATTCGAATAAGAAAAAAATAATACGGAATAAACAATAAAAATAAGTTGAAAACAACATCCTCTAAATGGGTGTGGATGGACTCATCTCCAACCTTACCTTCCAAAAAATCCCAAATAAGAATAAGGAATTGTTTATGCCAAAGACTTTGCTTGACATGTTAAACAGCTTAAACTAAAACACTAACTGAAGAGTTAATTGTTGTACACAAAAAAGGTAGGGGATAGGAGACAAAATTGTTTGTTAATATGTTCCCGGATACGCAATAGGCCATGGGGGAAAAATGCCTCGAAACCACAAAAAGCCATTTTGAACATTGGTCCCCATATTAAAAAACAAGAAGTTATAAGCTGTAAAAAAAAAACCTACTAAACAAACTCTTCAGATAATTTTTTTTTTTAGATTTTTGCCATTCATGGTTGGCTGGCTTCAAATGCCAGGGGACTGAAGCACCATATGCCATCTCAAAACATTTTTTGTCAAACTAAAAGCAAAATACAAGCAGTTAACAAACTTTTGAAGTTCAAAGGATTACAAACAAAATACATGACCAAGAATGCAATACAATACCATTTGCACCAGTCGAAAGTTTCAAAACCTGCAACGTCGCACAAGTAACGTCCCAAGAACACATCTTTCCTACACCTTACTCAGCTTTTAGTTCTGTTGGAGGATCATTCAGCGTTTCAACAGTGATGTGAGCCGGCTGCTGAGTTTTCAGAGCTTTTCTATTGTCATGCAATTCTTTGAGATTGTCAGAAAGACCAGTCAGCCTGCTTCCCAGTGCAAGAACTTTTTCCATATACATCTCAAATTCAGTAGCGAAAACTTCTTCTGCCTCTTTTGCCCTCATCTCCAGAACCATGCAGCTTGACCTAAACTCATCTTGCTGTTTGAGACGAAGCATTTCAATTTCAGCAGTGGTCAACACTAGACCGCCAGGTCCCGCGTCCTTGTAAATTGGTTCCTCGGGAAGCTGAACTCGCAGCCTATAGTCCGCGAATTCCTGGCGAGTACTCTTCAATGCCTTCCTATAAGCATCCAAAATATTGCCCATTGTGAAAAGTTCCCTTTCGAGTCGATAAATCTGGGCATCTCTTTTTTTAATCTCTTCATACATATTGTTGTTAATCTGTTGGATCGCGTTGTCACGCTTCTGCACCTCTTCAAGCAAAAAATGAGTGTGCGCAGTGAAGTCGTGATCACTTTTCTCCCTTGCATCATTCAATATCTTAGCTCTTGCCACCAAACTTTGTATTCGTTCGATGCATGACATGAGGTCATCTGGTTTATCAGAGGGAGCTTCTTCCACCCTCATTCTCTTATTTGCACCCAGAGAATGAGTGGCCATGGAATGGTCGCCGTCATTATCAATCCCTCTTTTAGAGCCGTGGTTGAAAAAATCCACTGCCTGATCTGGAAGAAGCCCATCCGAGGGAAACACAATATCTGCAGCTTGATGTATATCTCCAGCAACAGTCTCAACATTGTGCATAACAGCGAAATCATCATCATCGTCCCTGTCTTCTTCTTCTTCTTCGCATTCTTCTTCCTTTATCTCTTCTTTGATTTTCTCTTTCTTACTACAGCGCTGCAAATAAAGCCTATATTCTTCTTCCTCTTCATCTACTTCTTCACCATCATCATCATCATCATCATCATCTTCTTCTGCTTCCTCCTCCTCCTCCTCCTCCTCATCAGCATCTTCATCATCATCATCTTCTTGTTCTACATGCTCCTCGGAATCTATCATCTCCACATCTTCTTCCATATCCGGGCCCAATGTGAGCTCAACATTTGGCTCTTTGAACACAGCCCCTTCTTCTTGACCCACTTTCACATCACGCTCACCTTCCTCTTGCTTGTTGCCTCCTTCCACATTGTTATGCTCCTCTGTGAACATCTCGTCTTTGTTTTGTAACTTTTCAGGTTCATCGGTAAAGATATTGTCTTTAAGGAGTAGTGCCTTCTGAGGTTCCTCATTCAACAATTCCCCTTCATGTTGAGCCTTCTCGGGCTGCTCGTTCGAAAATTCCTTTTTGTTTTGAGCCTTCTGGGACGGGTTCTCGCTTAACAACAGCTCTTCACGTTGTGACCTAATTAAACACTGCAAATGAGAAGCATAGTAACAGTCCTCCAACTGCTCCCCACATGACAACTCTTTCTCCACCATGAACCAGAACAACCCAGGCCAGTCTACCTTCTCTGGGTGCTTGTTCTTGATAAGTTTCAACCAGCTCACCACCTCATCCGGCATTATCCACATGTCCTCGTGCAAGAGCACCCAATTCGACACAAAATCCTCAATGAATTCCACGGATTCATCGGACAAGGACTCCCCATCCAATTCAGCACCCTTCTCCTTCTTCACATGCAACTTTAGAGCCCGCCCTAAATCGGCTCTATTCACAGCTATCCTATATCCATTCACATAGCTAGCCCTAAGTCTAGGATCATACCATACAACCAACTGGACAATCAAATCTGCCCTAATATTTTGATCGAACTCAATGTGAACAAAGTCCCACAACCCCAGCTGCTTCAACAGCTTCTCGTGTTTGTTAAAATCAAAATTCTTGGCGGGCCTAAAGGGGATAGGGTTCAAACTCCTCTCAAGGGCACTCAATTTCTTCTCCATAGCCTGTACCCTCTTGGCGTTATTACCCTTCTTACGCTTGAAAACGCGCTGGATAGGGTTGGATGGCGACGCCGAAGAGGCATCAAGCAAGTTTCCACCGATCGGTGGAGCAGCCGCGTCAGAAGAAGAAGAAGAAGGAAGTCGAGGAAGAGCCTCACCTGATAATTCTTCCTCGGGGTTTTCTTCCAGGCGGGATTCCGGGCCTTCTCGAGCAGGGATTTCTTGATTTTGAGGGTTGCCTCGGTTCTGGGGCCGTGAATGAGATCTGCTTGGTTCATCTTGAATTGGGGTTTCGGGGTCTGAATTGTGAGATTCTGAAGCACTCGACATTCTGAACTTGCTCAGATCCAGTGGAAGAGAGAAGACAAATGCGGCCGATTGAGCCCCTTTGAGGTTCAGTTGGACTAGAGAGTATGGGTGACTCTAGCATGAAGCCGATTGAGCCCCTTTGAGGTTCAGTTGGACTAGAGAGTATGGGTGACTCTAGCATGAAGGGTACATATTTAGTTCGTACTCATTCCGTATTAAATATTTCGGTTTTGTATGAGATTTTACTTTGTATTGATATCAATCATGAAGTATTAGTTCAGTATGATTCGAGATGTTTTGGTTTGGGTAATATTGAGATGAATATATATATATATATATATATATATATATTATAAATGGGAAGGAAGGTTAGGTACCCTTTAAAAAGATGCATTTTTTCCATCCATTTCTTTTGTACAGTGTGCTTATAAAGTTGTACCTTTACTTTTTCTCCCAAAAATATCCTCTATGATTTAACTTCCGTCAATTTAGAAGCGAAGGTATGTATTGGTGTTCTAGAGAAGCAACGTAACCAGCCGCTTGACTCTTCGTACTCTCCTGCTCTGCTAGCGTAGATTCAAGCGTGACCCACAAAAACTCCACGCCTTTGCTTACCATGTACAAGTGCTTCTACCGTACGATTTCAACCAACTACTCTTGTGTATTTTGGATTTTTCAAATAATTTTCAGAATTTGATTCGTTATGGGGTAATGGTCGAGGGGAATTTTGCTCTTCCTTATAATCTATCCACAGCAGACGGATAATTCATCGTCCCCTCTTGCAATTTTTTCTAGGTATAACAGCTCTTGGAATTTTCAAATCTAATTTTCTCAATAAAATATAATATCAGTGCTTATTCATATGAGTTATTAATGATTTCGTTCTTTTATTTTTTGTTCTTAGGTTTTGTGGGTTAGTGGCCTAGATGCTTGCAAGATTAGAGTTGTTTGATATAAACTTTTAGTATACTCGCTTCTATAACTATTTTTGTTCTATGGATGATTTACGTTTTTTCCTAAAAAAGTTTTGGTCTTTTTTTTCTCTCATACACATTTTGTATACTTTTGAAGTAAAATACTAATCCATTATGCTAATAAAAAAAGGAACTGCTTCCACCTCATGTTTGTTTTTGTTTTTCATCAATTTTTGCACCAAAAGCAGTTCGCTTTAGTCTAATGGTTCATATGAAAGCATTTAAAATTCAATTGAGTTTGTTCAAGAAGTGAAACCCTGCGTCTAAATTGATGATTTATTATGCAATTTAATCCTTTTATTTCTCCGGAGAAAGTAACATTTAGGTTTGGAAAGTGTAAGTTTGGATAAATTTTTTCTTAGAATAATTTACAATATAAAGTTGTCAAAGGTGAGCGACTATATTTTAATCCAGCCAAATAAGGTATAGGCTACTACTGATTGGTGTTTGATTTTCCATTAAAAAACTAATCTTGTTCCAATATTAAAATCTCACTCATGATGTATTATTTTTTTAAATTTCCTCTTATCTTAATTCTAATACTAATTTCCTTTCAAGTTACTAATAAAAATAAGTTTGTTCTTGTAATGTACATGTTTTAGAGCTATATAGAGAATGTTGTTGGCATTGAATACAAAATGGACCTTCTGTTTTTTGTGCAAAAGGTCACGCAACTACAAACTTTTGCCTGACCTTTTTTTTGTAATATAATGTTTTCTTGTTGTTCACCAATATGATAGTCTATTTTATTTTGAAGGGAGGCCAATTGCAAAGTCCACATTGATTAGAGATATGGTACACAAGCCAGCATACTTTGTTCCTTGTAATCTCAATTTGATTTAAATCTTATTGATTATAATAATTTTTTTCATTTGTCTAGATGGTCAATACACCGCAAATCTAAAAAGCGTAGTAGTGATTAACTTTGACACTATGTTTGGTTCAAAGCATTTGGAAGGAAACGAAAAGAAAATGATTTTTTCTCATTTTTCTCACTAAATGGAAGTAATTTGGTTTTCTCATCTCTTTGTACATTTTGCCTTCTTATTTTCATTTTCTTCCACTTTTCTTTTTTTTCCCTCTCAAACCAAACAAGAAAAGTGTTTTCCTTCTCATTTTCTTTTCCTTTTCTTCTCAAATTCCTTGAACCAAACATAGTGTTAATCCTATATTTAAAGAAACTAAAAACTCTATCCCTTCTGAAGATGTGTTTTGAACCAAACATAGTGTTACCCAAGGGTTTAAAAAAATAGCATACTAATTGATTTGAGAAGCCCTAAGTAATAACTAATCAGTGTAAGTGTTAAGTCTTCATACTGGTTTAAAAAAATATCTATTGGTGCTTAAACTTAAATCTGTACTCACCAATAGTGTTTTAACCCCAAATAGAACCATAGCACTTAAATCTCTTTTTTCGATTTTAAAAGGCATTTTCTCTTCTTTAGGCTTGTTCTTTAAATGTTATTAGGGGATGGTGGTGTATGTCATGAAAGTTAACACATTTTGTAATTAAGAGGAGAATTAAACACAATATCAAACTGTTGTTCAAGGTTTCAGTTGAGGTTTGGGATTTTCTTATTATATGTCGATTCTTATAAAAGATTTTACTTATTCCAGGACTGGGATGAGTAGAGGGGTGTTGTCGAAGAGTTGATGCTCATATTTGGAAATTTTTGTCATCATAGGTAGGCTCTTTTTTAGATTATTTTCTCTATTTCGGGTTTATTATTTAATTGTACGTATTTGGGGTTTGTATTGAATGCCATCAAATTTAACACATTTTTTTATTAGCATAGTATTTTTTTTTAGATTTTTTATTTAATTGTTTTTTTTGCAATTTGTGTAACACGTTGTGAAAGTTAACATTTATTGGTTGAAAAGTTTCTATTCACCAAACACAAAATTTTACATTTCTCCCCAATTTTCTCATTGACATTTTGATCTTTGCTTTAATACTATTGCCTCTCAATCAAAGTACAAATGATTAAAGATATCTAGATATAAATTTGTTAAGTTCTCAGTGTGCATTACTTTCCTTCAAATTTTCTCAAACCTCTTGTTGAGATTAGTAAGTGTGGATCCAGTGAATTAGCTAATGTGGATGCGGTGAGTGCTAGGAACAACTACAAGGTTTGAATTATTAGAAATGCATATCACTATGCTTTTAGGTTGTTATTGACAAAGGCCTTGTTGTTGAGGGAGGATGCACTCTTCAGATACATTCTCCATAAGTGGATGCTCAAGGAGAGCCTTGCTAATACCTTGCTACATGTGGAGCATGCATGTGTGTATGTGTTTATATGAGTGCGTGGGGTTGGTTAATTTCTTGATGTGTTTCAGTTTTTAAATACATTTGGTTACAAATTAATTGCTACTACTCCTACAAGCCTACATATGAGTTTTCTAAATCTAGGTACATTATGTTTTTTTCCTTGTACCTTTGTTTTCTTCAATGGAACTTTTATACTTTTTCTTATGATAGTACTAAGGTGTTTGTTAACATTATTATCATTGGATAATAAATAGTAATCCTTCTTTTGCTGCAGGGATATGATAACAACCGACCAGAAATATATGATCCAAAGGCTAAAATAGATTAGTTTCCTTCTTATCCTTTCCATTTATATTGTTCTAAAGGATCATTATAAGATTTTCTTCTGACTATTTTTTGCCTAACAAATATTTTACAATTTGAATCCTTAGAATTAATGGGCATTCAAAACATTTCTTGTATTTTCTTAAATATATATTTGCTATGCCTTTTAAAATTAAGGCTTCGTTTGGTAACAACGTTTTCGATTAGCGTTAGCGTTTTGGATAAAATTTTAATGGTGTAGATTAAATCTAAAAACGCTAACGCTAAAGGCTACCGTCGGATAGCTTTTTGAAAACGCTAACGCTAATCTCTAACGCTGATGCCAAACGGGGCCTAAGTGTTGGAAGCAATAGCAACATGGATGCATATGATAACATTAATTACTACTAAAATGATGAACTTTTTATATTTTTTTCTTAGTACTTCATATAAATTAGATGGCTTGCTAGAACTTGACAAGATTTGAAGAAGTGTCCTTAACTCTGACAAGTCATTTTCTTTTCTCTAATAGCCTGTTGAATTAGGTGATGAAGAGGATGGAACATGGAGGCCACTGACAGTGCCAAATCCTGAATATAAGGCCCTTGGTAGTACATGGTAATCTCTTCCTACAATGTTGAATACCATGACACATGTCCAGAATTATTATGCTCTAAAAGTTTGTCAACCTCTGCATTTTTTGAATGTCACAGGAAAATATTTAAGAATCCAAACTACAATCGTAGAAAGCCTAATTAATTGGTACAACAAGTAGCAATTGCATACTAGAAACTTCAAAGATGTAATTAATTGGTTACTACTAAACAACAGCATGAATATCATTGATAAATCCCATATACCCAAAAACAATCAAAAGTTTTTTTCATTTACGTATACTATGCAATTTGGATTTAGTGCTTGATTTGTTATGTTACCATGTTAATGAAAGATCCCGTGAGTTATGTTTAGGCCAATCTGACAATGTGAGTTTGGCGAGCAGTCAATGTGACAAACAGGAAGAAGAAACAACCAAGCCATTGTTCGCAGTCTGCACTCCACCAGCCCCATGCTGATGTGGGAGAGAGGAGAAAGAAGAAAGGGGGAGGGGGAAGGGAGAAGACGAAAGAGGAGGGGGAGGAGGAGAAGATGTTGCTAGGAGAAATAAAATGGAGGAGAAAGAGAAGAAGAAAAAAAAGATAGATTTAGGAGAAAGAGAAAAGAGAAATAGTAATAATAATAGTAATAATGATAATAATAATGATAATGATAATGATAATGATAATGATGATGATGATGGTGATGATGATAATAATAATAATAATAATAATAATAATAATAATAATAATAATAATAATAATAATAAGGTGAAGATGCAGATACCAAGGAAAGAGAATGGAGGAGAAAGAACAAGGAGAGAAAGAGAAGAAAAAGAAGAAAAACAAAATGCAAATTGGGAGAAAAGAACAGATCGAAGAAGAAGAACACGGGGAGAGAGAGAGAGAGAGAAGAACAAGAACATGAGACAAAAAGGAAGGAGAAAAAGGAAGTGGAAGGAAAAAAAAGGGTAAATGGGTGAGGGGTACTTAGAGTAGTTTGTATGTTAAAAAATGAACATGATCATCACAGATTACTGCTTGCCATAAAGTATAGGCTATGAACTACTTGATAAAATCAATGTAGCA